ACAGCGATTACTGTGGTAGAATCAAGGAAAGCTCTGAGGAAGAATTAGAGCCACTGGCATGTCGAGTCATTGCAGTGGATGGTAAGCCAAGGCATGCAGGCACACTACCTTGTTTTGTTAATAAAGTTTTATTGGAACAGCTGTACTTACTCATGTGTGTATTACTGTAAAAGCTGCTATCTCACTCTAACGGCAGAGTTGAGTCATCGTGATGAAGGTCATGTGGCTCGCAAGCCTGAAGTATTTGCTGTTTGGCCGTTTTGAAACAGGTTGTCCTCCCCTGGTGAAAAGGGTCAGCCCTGCAGTCAGACCAAACTGGGCTCAAATTTTTGTTCCATAATTACTAGCTATATGATATTGGGTGGGTTACTTCGTTGCTAAACCTTGGTTTTATGTATAACTTACCTCAAAGGCTGTTTATGTTGATACAGCGAAATTTCACATAAAGTTCATTGCATAGTACCTAGCATGGAATAAATGCTCATTAAATGTTCTTTTAGTAAATGTTAGGTTTTATTTTATTGTGATTTATTATTTTAAGTGAACTATAACTTTTGATTTAAATAGGAATTTGGAGCTCTAAATTTTGAACGCTCCCCAACCATTAAATAGTGTTTAGGAAGCTAGGAAGACTGGCATCTAATTGTAAGAAATTTCTAAGAGTTACACAAAATATCGTTATAGGGACAGTGTGATTCACATAAGAACCCAACAACGTAAGCATATTAAAAAGTAATACTACAAGTTAAAATACAGTTAATCAAGGCCAAATAGCATATTCAGTATTGTAGGAAGCCAGGCCAGTTGATTTTTTAAAAGTTAAGATGCTTTCTTACAACTTACAGGAAAATGATATTTCAGAGTGAATATAATAAGGAGAGGACACCACTACCAATCTTACAGAAATTTTTAAAAAAAGGATTATCAGGGTATACTGTGAACAGTTCTATGGCAACAAGTTATTATATAACCTAGATGAAATGGACAAATAACTGAAATCAACTTACCAGATAGAAAATCCAAATGTAGACTCAACAGTCCTCCATAAAATGGTCACAAGCCAAATATGGCAACAAGTAAAAAGAATTATATTCCGTAGTCAAGTAGGATTTAGTCCAGGAAGTAGAATAAAGGACACATTGATCATCTCAGTAGAGGAGGAAAATACTTGACAGAATCACAGCACACTTTCATGATATAAAAATATTTAACAAATCAGGAATAGAAAGAAACTTCCTCAACCTAGTAAAGTGCATCTATGGAAAACTTATAGCTAACCTTATATTAGGTGGTGGAACACTGACTATTTCTCCTTAAGGTCAGGAATAAGACAAGGATATCTGCTCCCACACATTTATTCAACATTGTACTCTAGGGTCTAGCCAGGGCAATAAAGCAAGAAAAAGAAACAAAAAGCATCTATATCTTCCTCATTCACAGACGAAACTATCCTGTATATAAATCCTAAGGAATCTGCACAAAAAACTCTCAGAACTAATAAGCTTAGCAAGGTTGCAGGATACAAAATCAATATAAAGACGTCAACTGTGTTTTTGTACACAAACATCCAGAAACAAGAATGTAAAATGTTGAGCATCAAAAAGAATAGAATAAACTTAGGAATAAGAAGGGCAAGACTTGCTCACCAAAAACACCCAATGATGTACTAAAACATCACTGAAAGAAATTAAAGAAGACCTAAATAAATTGAAAGACTTTTCCTGTTCATGAAATGGAAGACAGTATTGTGAGGATGGCAGTATTCTACAAATTCAATACGCATCAAAATATCAGCTGCCTTTTTTTTCTTTTAGCAGAAATTGACAAGCTGTTTTTTAAACTTACATGGAAATGCAAGAAACCCAGACATACAGGTACAGAATCAATGGAGTCGAATTGAGAGTCTAGAGCCATACCTTTACGCTTATGTTCAATTGATTTTCATCAAGAGTGCCAAGACAATCCAACAGGGAAGGATAATCTTCAACAAATGTTACCAAGACAACTGGATATTCACATACCAAAAAAAAATGAAATTCCTACCTCACACCATACACAAAAATGAATTACAGGGCTAAACGTAAGAACTAAAGCTATACAGCTCTTAAAGCATAGGAGTAAAATGCTGTTAACATTGCATTATACAGTAGTTTCTTAGAACTCCAAAAGCACAAATGACAAAATGTGAATAAATTGGAATTGAACAGATGTAAAACGTTTGTGTTTCAAAGGACAAAAGAAGTGAAAGACAAGCCACAGAATGGGAGGAAATATTTACAAATCATATAGCAACTTGTATCCAAAGTATATAAATGACTTAAAATTCAACAATAAGATAAAGACAACCCAATTAAAAGTAGGCAAGGGATTCAAATAGGTGTTTCTTTCTTCAAACAGGGTATATGAATGACCAGTAAGTACGTGGAAAGGTGCACAGTATCATCAGTCACTACGGAAATTCAGGCTGAAACCATGGTCGTTCACGCCCACTTGAATGGCTAAAATAAAAAAAAGATGAATATAGCAAGAACAAATGTTATTTGTCCAACATGTGAAGGCATTAGAACTCTCAGACGTTTTTGGTGAGTTGTGAAATGGTACAGCCACTTTGGAAATGAGCTTGGCCTTTCCTCAAGATGTTAACCACAGAGTTAGCAGAGTTACCCCAGAAATTCTCATATGCCAAAAAGAAATGAGGAAAGGAAAAAGCTTCACCAAGACGTATGCACAAATGTTTATGGCAGCATTCTTCATAATAGCCCGGCATCAGAAAGAACCCCGTGTCTGTCAACTGATGAGTGAATAAGCATGTTGTGTGTCCATGAAGCGGAAAGCTATTTGACCCTTGAAAGGAATTGCATATTGAGGGATGCTACAGCATGGGTGACCCTTGAAAGCATATCAAGCACAATACGGGTCACAGCAGGCCACATTTTATCTGAAGTCTTGACAGCAGGCAACTCATAAAGATGCAAAGTAGATTAGTGGTGAGGGATGAACTGGAAGTGACTGTAGATCATTACGGGGTTTCTTTCTGGGATGATGAAGCGTTCTAAAATGAGATGGTTTCTCAGCTTTATGAACGTATTAAAAGCCACTGAATTGTACACTTTAAAAGGGCACATTTAATGGCATGTGAGTTATGTTTCAATAAAACTTACTTTTTAAGTGAATGTGATATAAAAAGAAAGCATAGGGAAGAGAGATGGAAAATTGAATTACAAGGAACCCAGACTAACAGATATAGAATTCATTTTACATCATTCGGCCTCAGAATAACAGGCAAAATTAACGAGGAGAGACACAGACCTAGTCATTGTTAAAGTTTTTATTTTGTTTTAGTTTTTTAAATGGAGGGGATTAAAAGCCGAAACACTCCAAGCAGATGAAACGATGGGGGTAGAGATATCAGCTTGTCGTATGACTTCTCTCTGTTTTCTTCACATTTATTCATAGAATATAATATCTTGAAAGAGATGTTATCAAAGTTAAAAAAAGGAGGCTTTAATAGAGAATTACAAAATGCTAAATAAATATACTGCAGTTATAAATGGGTCCATTATTGAAACATAAAAACTCCAATACTGAGTATAAAAAAGAATCAACTATTTAGTGTTTGAAAGAGAAAGTCAAGCAAAACAATAGCAGTTTAAAAGGATGGTGAAAAAATGGTAGACAAAAATAAAATTTAAAACGTAAGGGAGCTAGATTTGTATAAGACAGAGGATAACTCAAGGCAAAAAGCTTGAATTTGGTCACAGAGGGTAGTTCGTATCGGCAGCGGCATAGTGAGGATTCAGCACCCGCAAGCGTATTTGTACTGGTCATATAGAACTAAAACACATAAAACCGCCTGAAAAAGAAGCATCAACCTGGCCCTTGTGTCAGATCTGGATTGAAGGGGGAAAAAGTAAATAAGCCGCTTTTTTTTTTTTTGCTTTGATAACATCTCTTTCCTTTGTTTTAAGATAGTCTATGAATGTGAAGAAAACAAAGAGAAGTCATGACAAGCTGATATTTCTACCCCCATTATTTTATCTACTTGGAGCGTTTAGGCTTTTAATCCCCTCCATTTTAAAAATTAAAACAAACAAACAAACAAACAAAAAGCTTTAACATTGAGGAAAGGATAAAAATAGACTTGAGAGGAAGCAGAGGAGAGAACAGTGGCCCCGAGGCAGCAGCAGTGAAGATGCAGACTGGCGAGAAATCTAAGGCACAGAATCGTTGAGTTTTGTTCCTGGGTCAGCTGTGACTCAGAAATTGCAACAGGTCTTCCATCAGTTGCAGGTGTGTGCGTGTGTGCGTGTGTGTGTGTGTGTGTGTGTGTGTGTGTGTTTACTGTACTTGAATGCCAGTTCTCTGCAACCACCACCGGGCTCTGTTGTCCAACACTGAGCTAACGTTGGTCGTTGACCTTGCCTCCCTAGCCTCTGTAGGCAATTTTGCCTTTGTTAACTCAAGGAGGTGTTCAAAGAGAAGCTGATGAAGAAAACTGAGAAAGTTGTGAGTTTGAGGAGCAGGAAAAAAATAATTGTGGTAGTATAAAAAGTAACAATTGTTTACACTTGAAAATGGTGACGATTATAAGTTTTATGTTACTTGGTTCTAACCACAATAAAGACATGCTAGAAACCCAAGAAAAGTAATAACTGTAAATGAATGGAAAATGTGAAGCATTCAAATCTTTGTCTTAATACGATTTTATTCACTCATCTGCATTCAGTTTGCTTCATATGATAAAAATTATGACTATTGGGACACTTATACATCACTATTTTAAGTCTCCCCTTTTAGATTAAGGAAGTTGGCTTTCATTAGGCACTGGGTCTCATTTCCTGTCTTGTTGGTCTTAAATTTGTGTTTTCCTTGCTCTAATTTAATCTCACAACACCTTCCTTTGATGTCTTATCGTCCCCTAATAGGAAAAGTAAATTTGCTGGGGGGAGACACCTGTCTTTTAACTGCTACAAAACATTTTAAGACGCTCATGCTTCTCACCCTCATAGAAACACATTCTGCTAACTGGCGACCATGAGTCATCTGCCACAGAGAACCATCAACCATCTATGACAGGTGCGGTCTTTATAGGAGAGTCATGTGACTGACACCCACACACCCAGTTTCACTTTAAATGGAGCATTTTAAGTAATGTTTTCTTTTCTCTCCTTTAGAATGACTTGTGGATGGACACCTTTAACAGGAAGATCTCACTTATTAAAGGCATTCTGAATTCCCAGTGAAACCCACCTTAGCACGCAGGAAGTAAGTTTACAAATCCAGCCAGATCTGCTGAAAAATTGACTTTAGGACAACCTCTTTCAGGTCCCCTCTCATTGTGAGAGCTTTTCTGTCTTCTTAATAGATCCTACTTTAAAAAAAGAAAAAGAAAAATTGACTTTACTCACTCGCCAGCCCATTAAAGCCTTTATTCAGAGTCTGTTTGTTTATTTATTTATTTTCCCAGAGTTGGAATCTCACTCTGTCACCCAGGCTGGGGTACAATGGCACGATCGATCGCTGCAACCACAGCCTTGACCTGGAGGGCTCAGACAGTCCTTCTGCCTCGGCCTTCCAAGTAACTGGGACTATAGGCAGGCGCCACCAATGCCCAGCTAATTTTTTTTTTTTTTCTGATTGTAGAGATGAGGTTTCACCAGTTGGCCCAGGCTGGTCTCAAACCCTTGGGCTCAGGCACCTCTTTCGCCTCCACTCCCAAAGTGCTGGGGTTGCAGGCATGAACCGCCACACCTAGCCCTCAGAGACTGTTTACTTTGATAAACTGTCTAATTTTCTACTTAGTGCTATTTCGTTGGTATGTTTAGACAGATTGACAGTGATTTAGTGATAGAAACCCAAGATGAGAAGCCGTAGCTGTGTGAAGGGTGCCTGTCTTGTACCTCAGAGAAGTCCAAGACGTGAGCCAGGGCAGTGGGTGTTGGCTGGGTAAACGAGGGACTGAGTTCCTAGGCTCAGAGATAGGACCTTCAGGCATGAGAAAGAGGACAAACTGTTACATTTCCAGTTTTCTGGGAGGGGAAAAAAGCAGATTATATTTTCTTAATATCTCATGCAAATTGTTAAAGAGAAATTTCGGTGCTTAGAAAGTATGTTCACAGCTACTGGTAAAAAACAAACAAACAAACAAACAAAAAACCCAGCTGGCATGACTTTCTTTTCCGAGAGATTAAGGATAGTGAGCCTTGGCTTTTTTCTGTGTCTAACTGCACGTGTGACTAGCTCGGATCTCTAAAGTGGTAGTTAGTTGCAGTGCTGCTTTCAGAGATGTGCCTGTAAAATGTTGAGTGATACATGACGGACTGCATTGAGGAAGCTCTGCGAGAAGCATCTTCAGCCAGGCAGGCTCCTGAGAATATAAGAAGAAGACTCGCGCTGGGAAGGACGAAGCGGGAAGGCCACTCACCCTGCGTGTTCCTGGCACGTGTTGGTGGAGGGCATGGAGACTGAGCTTTGCATCGGAAGAGAAATTGGGGTTTGGGGGAGGCAGCGGGCATTGTGTAGAGCAAAGTTCGGACTTTACCGGTTTTTGAGACTGGACTCTTCCTCTGATCTAAGTACAAGTGTCTTCACACACATCCGGAATGATCTTCCTGCTTTTTGTAACAATCCTATGAGGCAAGCACTTTTAGAATCCCCGTGTCATAGATGAGGAAAGTCGTATTGGTTGTTTCAGGCATCACCAAGTGCTACCAAGTCTACGTTTGTTTCTAGCCGAGACGTGATTCTGTCGTGTAATTATTACCCCAGAAGTAAACAAATACCGTGTGTATTTCTGTGGAGTTGCCCACCGTTATGACGCAGTGTTTGTGTCTTGTCCCTTGGATCTGCAACTGGGAATTCTCTTGCATACATAAAAATTGAAAAATTAGGACAGTTACATATATGAACCTTAGAAAAATAAAATCAACGTATAAAAATTCTAATTTCAGGCCCCGCACAGTGACTCACGCCTGTCATCCCAGCAGTTTGGGAGGCTGAAGCGGGAGGGTTTCTTGAGCCCAGGAGTTCAAGACTAGCCTGGGCTACGTAGTGAGACCTCGTCTCTACAAAAAAATTTAAAAATTAGCCAGGTGTGGTGCTGTATACCTGTTGTCCCAGTGAGGCTGAGGAGGAAGGATGACCTGAGCCTAGGAGGTTGAGGCTATGGTGAGTCATGCCAGTGCACTCCAGCCTGGGAGACAGCGTGAGTCCCGACAGAATAAAAATAAAAATTATAATTTCAGACAAAAATGGAGACTGTCCAGTGATAGTTAAAAAGATAAGTCCATTGCAAGCTCTCTTTAAGTTAGGCCTGGCAGTTTGGCAGACAGAAGCAAACCCTCCTACCTCACCTCATTCCAGCTGAATTCTGTTTTACAGGGTTTGTATTTTTAAAAACAACAACAGCACAAATATTTTCTGTAGGTGAGGGATACCCTCTTCAGTTGCCACAGACCCCACCATTCTCTATTATCCTGAGTCAATTAACAGCTGCGTTTTATTTGCCAAGACACTGCAGACTTCTGAGTTTGTCAGAACTTTAAATCATAAGCCCGTTAGTACATTTAAAAATTGCTGTTGAGTTAGTAACGTGATTTTTGGAATATGTGTGTTTGGTAAAGTGAGGCAGATCTGACATTATATAAAGTAACACCAACTATTTCAGAATTGTTTTTCAAAGCTTAGTCTCTGCAAGCCAAGATTAAATTACAGAGCCATCAACTGTCTCTGTCAGCTTCCTTTACATGCCTGCTCCCTGCAGAAAGGAGTAGGAGATTGGAGATTTTTTCCTAAATCAGATGAAAAAACATGAGATGCGTTCATGGCAGGCGCTTCTTCTGCTCGATATGTTGGCCTGTCAGGATAATGTTGGGGTTGTCGGTCATCAGAATGTGGGGCAGGTTGTGGAGGGCGTCGGCAGGCATCAGCCCAAATGTAGGCTGGAACCACCTGGGAAGCCGAAGGCAGCCCAACCCCGTGGGATTTGTTCTCTTGTTTTTCCCAACACGTATGGTAGTAAATAAGCCTCCAGTATTAGCAAAACTTGCCCTTCGTGTGTGAAAGGCAACATTGTAGAACTGAATACCATCCCACAGTGCAGATGGATTTTGTTTTAAATTGTGTTGGTTGAGGTTGAGCTTTATGAAATTGCCAGTATTTGACTATTTGTGACCTACCAAAAAGAAAAATGGCAGTTCATGGTTTAACTTCATACATCAGCTGTTCCACACAGAATTTTTAAAAACTGGGCAAGTGTTTTTTAGCAAATGAAAATACAGGTCTGTTTCCGGGTTCATGATGGCCATGAGTGGTGTGCCTGCCTTCTGCCGACCCTGAGCTCACCCAGAAGCTTGCCCTCCCCCTTCTTCCTTCTGTCTTGTGTGTTGGGATTTCCCAGGACTTGGCCACAGGCCTCTCTCGTCCACACTACCCAGCGAACGCCCTCCGTCTGGTAGTCTTCAGTGAGCTCACAGCCCCGTGTCTCTACCCTTGACCTGCACTCTGAACTCTGGTCCCCTTCACTCAGCGATGTCCTCAGCTCTCCAAGTAGGCGTCTCGCGGGCATCCCAGATTCACTGATCGGATGTCCACATCCCTTCTGCCACCCCTCTCTGCTTGTGGTCCAGCCTTCTCCATCTCTCTGCAGGGTACCTCCACCTACCCAGGGATGCCAGAAACCTGGGCATCATCCTGCTTCACCCTTGCTTCTTGTTACGGGTGTCCTGTCCAGTCTCTTTTCAATAAGCGCATCTGGAACGTGCCTGCCCCTTTTCGAGTCGCAGCCATCCTAGTTTGCCGCCCCTGCCACCTGGCTTGCTTCAGGAGCCACCCAGTCTGTCCTTAGGCTTCTTCTCTAGCCCCCCTAAATGTCCTTCTTATGCTGTCCTGCATTGAGGGGAAAAGGGCACCTCCTTGCTGCTGCCTCAGGCCCTGGGGCCCGGCCCAACCTCACCCAGCCCCTTCCCCTGTTTGCTGCATTATTTTGGTTCCTCAGAGCCCCCAGGCTCCCCGCTGGCCCCAAGGCCTTCCTATTACTTCCCCCATCCGCAGTCCTGCCTCCCTACTCAGTTCTTATTCATCCTCCAACACTCAGCTTGCATAACACTTGCCCAAAGAGGCCTTCCCAGATCCTCCCTTTGCTCTAAATCGGGCTGTTCTCCCAGGGGGCACCCCGTCCTTTCTCTTCCTGGCACCGCACCCCATGCTTTGCATTTCTGGGCTCCGACATGCAAGCGTATCTGAGGCAAAGCTCTGCGGGGCAGGGCCGTGTCCAGCACCCAGCACACCATGGCTGCCACCTGCTCAGAGTGACCACACGGCCCATCTGGACCCTGATATTTAGAAGAGGTCATGGTGGCTGGGCCTCGGACCTGGCGTGGCACTGCAACGCAGGCTGCTCTCAAGCCCCAGCTTCATTTGGGGTGGCTTTTTGAAAGATCATGAGCTTTTTGAAAGCAGGCGTGTTATCTGTTTTGTTCACTGCTCTATTCCCAGCGCCTAGGAAAATGCTTGATAATGAGGAGATGCCCAATAAATACTTGTTGAACAAATGATTTTGCTTCCTCTTTTGCAAAGTTCCTTTCACGTGACATGGTTGGGGGAAGGGGGGTAAATAAAAGAAAACAGAGGAAGTGCCTAGTGTGCATCAGGTATTCAGCAATGCCAGAAACCTTAATGCCTTTTTCAAAACATTAATTATCACTTTTTTTTTTGTTTTTTTGTTTTACAAAAGTGGTTCTCGAAATCCCTGGGCCCCAGTACAGACCGGGGTGGGGGCAGTGAGGGGCGTCCCTTCAGCGAACCTCTGTGGTCTTCCTAACCACCTCAACTTGCACTCCTCAACTCGCCGCCACTACCTCGTGCTGACTGGCCAACTGGGATGAGGAACAGATCCTCTTCCTCAGACGCGCTAAGACAGAGATGGACAAACACGTGTCTCAATCTTGCCCAGAACCAATGTCACTACAATAATAGACCATACATGAGAACCGTGTGTGTCAGAAGACTGTTAGCACCGTTAGGCTAAAATATATATTTATAAAAAGGAAACTGGAATAATTATATAATGATGCTACTATCTTCTGGTAAGAAACATCATCATATGTGCTTGACAGAGTGCTCCTCTGGGTCTGTTCCTTTGGATTCATTTGAAAGGCATTTGCTAGCCCATATATTTTTTTTTTTAAGAAGAGGGAAATAGGTTTCTCCCTCCCCCAGATAATGTATCCCCCTGACTTTGAGCTCCTCCTTTTCGCGACATATTT